TTTATTATTTTTTATTATTTTTTATTATTTTTTATTATTTTTTATTATTTTTTATTATTTTTTATTATTTTTTATTATTTTTTATTACTACATTAATATTACAAAAAAATCTAATTTATTTGAATTTTCTAAATAATTTTAGTTACAAGTTATGAATCCATATATTGGAAAACATAGTGTGATTATAATTGACAATGCACGTTGTTACCCTTGATTTTCTTCCGATAGAATAGTTATATTATTTTCTTACCTTATTATTATATTTTATATTGTTAGTATTATTTATTATTTATTTGTATTATTTAATTATATATAGTTATATTATTATTAGTATATTGTATTAGAGATGTTACACTAAGTAGATCAATCAATGTAGCAATCTGTTACACTGTCAAAGATATTGTCAAAATCAATGTTCAGATCAGTGTCAAGGTTACTGTCAAAAATACTGGCAGAAACATTGTCAAGAACACTGGCAGAAACACTGACGAAATTATTAGTTATATAAAGGGTGAGTTTTCCTTCTACCCAAAGAGAGAGTGAAGATTTAAAAAGTTGAGAAAATCTAAAATAACTAATAGTGTAAATTAGTTGTAATCTCTTATACTTGTAAATATCCTGAAATAATAGAATATTATATTTCATTTCTTTAATAAACCACTTTTATATTACATTTACCGTAAATTCTTATTAATTTATATTCTTTGAATATAAATTAAAGTATATAAACCTTATTCGTCTTAAACTTTCCAGCACACTTTATCTGGTTATATTGAGTTTTCGAATAATAAATTCATCATATACATTTAACTTAGTTCTTGAAATTATAATTTATCCTTCATATTTAAAATTAGCTTAATTATCCTTGATTAATAATTTAGTTATCTAACTTGAATCACTTAAGTTTACTAGTTGTAAACCTCCTGTTGGAACCTTATTTTGCCCGACAGGTCGACTAGTAACAACGTATTCATCATGATGTTGAACTTATTGAAACAATCAAAGCATTAGGATGTAGAGTTATTTTTTTATCACCCTATTCACCAGATTACAATCCAATAGAAATTGCATTTTCAACCATTAAACTTTGGATTTAATGTAATCAAGTATTTACGGAATCTTGTAATGATCCAATATATTGTCACGCTCTGCACAGAACAAGTGGAAAGTTAAGCCAATCAGTCTCAAATTTAGGTCAATCACACGATAATTCAATGTATTACTAACATACTATCTCTTGTACACAATATCACAGCAAGACAGGCAATCAGTCGATCTAAACCTGCTTACTAACACTCAAACAATGCAATTACGTGTAATATCTGAAGGTACAGTGAGCAAGTGGAGTAAAAGTATCTTTACTATATGCTTTGTACACTACCGAAATTTAACAGACTTTTTGGAGTAACTTGCCAAGGAGTATAGAACAGTTTATTAAAAGAATTATGAAAGTTTATTACAAAAATATATCAATAGAGATATATCACTGCGTTGGCGTGTCTTATCTCTATTGTTATTCCAATATACGAAATTATTTATTACTATTAAAAATTAAAACTATTACAAAAATTATTTATTATTATTAAGACTATTTCAAAACTATTTGTATTTATTATTACTAGTATTATTTGAGGAATTATTTATTATAAAAACATAAGAAAAGTAATTATGAATTATTAGGATATTACGAAATTATTTGTTATTAAAAATATATAAAAGAAAATATTGTTGTCAAGGTAAAATATTATATGAATTTTAAAAGTTTCGCGAGAGGAAAAAAAAAATCTCCTGTTTCTTCTCTCCTTACGCAGTTATTTTATATTTTTCCCTTTTGTTTACCTTCATCCATCATTATCCATAAACACGAGGATATCATCTTTCATCTTGGATGAAGGATGATATGCGGAGTACAAAGATAATTCATCCAAATAGTAACACGGTCATCTTCTCTCATCCCCCGTGACATTGGTTACCTTCGCGTTACCTCAATGCGTAGAACTACTAGGAAATGGGAACCGTTATGAGTCCGGAGCAAATTATTGGACGAAAATCACATGTGTGACCAGATCCCGTGAGTGATCAATTTTACTATGCATAGAAATATAATGTCCCCGGAACAATGACGATCCAGGTCGTAAATAGTTGAAACATTCGATTTTTCTGACTTACTGTAAAATAACGAAAATTAAAAATCAATAAGTAAATAATTATGTACAGTATATTAAAAAAAAAGAGAAATTATTTCAATTCATACGAGATTTATAGCTCTTATTTTTATTGTATACGTGATCCTTCTTAGAGAAATATTCAAGTATAGATAAATATCGATGAATTGTTATAAATCGTTCATCCGGAAATTCTTTTAGGCGCAAATTTACGTCTAAAAAAATTTCTGGATGACTTGTAGATATAAAGATTATGATGTTAATATTATTAATTTACAAATTTCTTTAAGTATTTAGATAAATTATATCCCCGTTTGTCTTTATCTTTAAATCATTTCGAATTTCTCATAAAGCTTCTTGAAAATTCTAAACTATCTAAAAGACAATATTCAAAGACATGGACACTAGCTTTGGTTTCTTTGTTAACATCACTTGGTGAACTCATTATTTCAACAATTCTCGCCTAAAAAAATTTAAAAATAATATAAAAATTCAAATATTTCTAACAAAAACAAAGTAATAAGATGATCGCTTACCATTTGTTACAAACATTCTATTTGCTAATTTAAGCCCATCCAATTGCTAAAAGTATAAAGGTCGTTTTAATTATTTTTTTCGATAAGAATTTCTGGAATTTCTATAATTTATAAAATTTATTCTTTGCAAACCTTTATTCGATTCATTGCTCCATCTTATCAAATGCCAAACAGAACTCAAGATAGAATCAACCACCTTTAATGTTGTTGCGGAAGACGTTGAGAAATTGATTGTTTAACTTATATTTATTATCATTATTTCCCGTATATATTTTGATTTTGATTCTTTGATTTCTTCGAATAAAAGTTCTCGTAACTTTAAAAAAACTTCACTGATGGGTGTAAGAACAATGGTTTGACGAAATTTCGTTTTGAATAGATTGTATCAGTACTAAAATCAAAAAAAAATCATCAAAAGTTGTTAATTTTTATAAAAAATCTGATGATGCAAGTGATGCAAAGTTGCTTACCATTAAATGCTTCGTTTAGAAATTTGATCGCAAAATTTTTCAAGTAAAAGTACTACATATTTCGGTTGTAGAACCATCGCGACTGGAATCAAATAATTGAATTAATTGAATTAATTGAATTTAGGACATTTAGAAATTATTTACATGACATTTGGTATTAGCCGAATATTGCCTTCTGGTTCAGATTTCTTGTCTTGTGAATTTTACGGAAATCGCATCATGAATTGATACTACTTTTTCATGGCCACTCTATTAACAAATTAACCTTTCGCATAATAAATCAACCATAATATTCATAATATTCATTACGAGGATAATATCTTTGACATTCAGTTGTTCGAATCCAAACTTTAACTTGACTTTTTGATCAGCTATCTGACATTCTTTTTGCTTCTTTTGTTCTAGTAATAATAATTATTCAGAAAATATCACTGGTTCCGTTTTGAATTAAAACCAATATTCATACTTTTGGGCGATTATACATGATGTTTTCCAAATCAAGACCTTGAAAAATATTAAATAGAAGCTATATAATATCCGATCATAGTCTCCTTTTACTTTGCATAAATAGTAAAATCTGCTGAAGAATTATTTGATTCTTCAAGAATAACCGTTGAGATTCAACAAGAGTGGTATTATCAATCTTTTTATGCTGAACAATTTCCTCCTTCGTCATTCCAAGATATTTAAGTTGAGTCAGAAGATAAAGAATTTCCACTTCAATTATATATATAAAAATGTTTCTTATTATTCAAATTCAATATTTTAATACCATAATTTAATAATATTTGTCCTTTGACGTTTATTATCTATAATATAAGAAGGTTTTTCACCATTCGAAAGACATGGTGGTAAAATTTCGTATTATTTAAAAGTTCTTTTATTTTAATAAGATTCTCTGTAAATAAATATAAAGCAAGAGTAAATTTACTTGGTTAATCAAAACAACTTTCGCTAAATAATTATTGAATAACTGTTTATACTTACCAAGAACTTCCGAACCTTGTCTATAATATGTTTGGTTATTATTTCACGAAGGTCTTGGATAAATTCTTGTTTGTCTAATTGACCGCATGAAGTTTTAAGAGTATCAATTGACTAGTTGTTGGTATTAGTTTCTAAAGATTTTTCAGATTTTAGAGATTTTAGAGACTTTTCTTGAGACATTGTTTTACAGAATATGAAGACACGAAAATCTTTTTATATATTTACGAAAGTATATTATGTTTATCAAAATTTTTAATTTTAAATAAATGATATCGATGTTGATACTTATAATAAATATAATGTTTATTTTATGAAAATCTTTTATTGATATTGATCTACGTGTTGTTTATCAAAATCTTTTGTTGATATTGATCTACGAGTTTAAGTAAACAATAATTTAATCATAAATAGGGTCCATATCCCCAATTATTGAAAAAAAGAATTCTCTCGAATTTTATCTGTTAATTCTGCTTATAAAAAAATTAAACCTCTTAAATTTTTTTAAAAACTCTTTCAAAATGCAACAATTTAACTTGCCTCACGTTATCCGACCATCAGGCAGACCCAATGAAGTGTATACTAGCATTGGTTTTCTTGGAAAGGTACATTATTTATATTTTTATAATTTTTTATTTTTTATTTTCTTTATGAATTATAAATATGAATTAAAAAATTTTAATTAGGGAGCATTTGGGTCTTGCGTCAAAGTTAGAGATCAAGATAATAAGATCTTTGCATTGAAAACAATTAGAAAACAAAATCTTGCCCAAAAGAGAAACGAGGTAAAGTTATTAAATTTATATCTTTATGATAAATGAATAGGAACAATTATATCTAATATTTAAATTGTAATTTTTTTTAAATAGATTCGAAATGAAAGGGCCATTCATAAGAGGATGGATCATCCTCATATTGTAAAACTTTATGATGCATTCGACGATCAAGAGAATGTTTATTTCAAAATGGAATGCTGTGAAAATCAAGTATGAAAAATATATTATTCATTATTATTTATATACATATTAATAAAACATATAATAAATCTATATTATTATCTTTTTTTTATTTTTATTATTTAAATAATATAATTCATAGTCATTGAAAAGAATGTTACGAAACCGCGGCCGACTTACCGAACCGGAGATTAGATACTTTTTAATTCAACTTCTGGATGCAATTGAATATATGCATAAAAAGAATGTTATCCATCGTGACCTTAAACCAGATAACATTTTTTTATCAAACGAAATGAAAGTGAAAATCGGTGACTTTGGGTTATCTAAAAAATTAAAATCCGCGGATGAATTTAGCAAGTAAGTAACAATTATTATTAATATATTAACTATAATTATTAATAATATATAATAATATTAATTAATGTTTTATAATTATAGTCGTGTCTGCGGAACTCTTTCATTCTGTGCACCAGAAATGTTGGATTTGGATTCTACCGATGGATACAGCTTTGGAGTAGATATTTGGGCCATCGGTGTTATCTTGTAAGTAAAATAAATATATATATTTTAAATAAATAATTAATTAATAAAAAAATATTAATAAAAAAAATATTATTATTATTTAATAATAGATATCAATTACTCTTTGGAAGATTGCCATTCCCTGGAAATAATAAACCTATCGTTGTTGAGTAAGTGGATTTATAATATATTTAATTTATTTAATATTTTAAATACTAATAAAAACTTTTAACTTTTATAGTCAAATTTTGAATTGTGATTATGAGTTCCCTGAAAATGTCGATGCATCAGATAATGCAAAAGATCTTATTGACTTATTGCTTACCGCAAATCCTGGTAATTATAGAAAGAAAGTTATAAAAGTTATGAATTACATAATTAAATTTTTTTACTAATAATTTTTATTTTTTTAATTGCTAATTATAAGGAGCCCGACCAACCATTCCTCAGATCCGACGACACGACTTTCTTAAAGGCCTTACACCTAGCAGATTACCGGAAACAGCAGTGACAAATGAGCCAAGTTTTGAAATTGTTAATAAAATTGACATCTGGAATTTTATTTTAAAAGATGTCCCCATTGTCACCAACGCAGGAATTAATAGATATGTAAATGGGAACTCATAAATCGTGGATTATGTGGATTTTACAATAATTAAAAATAAATATGAAAATAAATGGAAACAAAAAAAAGGGAAGTATAAAAACTTTTTTTAATTGATATTTTAATTTTAATACAAACTTATTTTAATTGCTTTGATACTAATTTATCTTTTTTTTTTTTATTGATTTTATTTTTGAGCCTATATTGAATCATAATTACGGGATTTATTTTTTATTTTTACTATAGCTTAAATTAAGATTAGAATTTGAAATTAGGTAGTTGGTTAGATTTGAATTTAAAATTAAATTAGTTAGTTAGATTAGAATTTAAAACTAGTTGAAACGATTATTATTATTATATATTATGTATCCGTCATCAATTATATCAATTATATCAATCAATAAAATTCAGTGGGGGGTGCCCCACTATAAATATTTACACCCGAATTATTATTTTGATTCTAGAAAATGAAATTAATAAAAATAATAGTAATAATAATGATAGTAGTGATAATAATAATATAATAGAAGTCAATTAGTAAAGATCCTTTAAACATAATTTAATTTAAAATGAATTTGAAAATATTATTATTATTATTATTATTTAATATATATTCAAAAGATTTGATTTGGTATTCGCTTTCTTTCTTATCAGTCATGATCAAAGAATAATTTTAAGAGATTTTATGCAAAGATATATTCAAATAATCTAAGATATTCCATTTTCATACTCTAATGAAAAAATGTATTTTTTTTTTGATATTTTACGAAAACGTTAAATCGCACAGTGGATGTTCGCCATAACCTATATCGCAGGGGTCAGGGTTAGAGTTTTTCGAGGGTAATGTATAACTCACCGTGTGTCACCATTCGAATATCAATTTTTATTAGATGTTCATATTTGTCACCTAATATTCGTCACCGAATATTTATCACACGTGAAATAATTTCGATCAACTGGACATCATGTGTCTATTTTTTAATAATGTTGATCTTTATATTTTCGTTTCATCAACATCAGTTTCCATCACGAAAAATCTTCCTTGAATATTAACAATATCTTCTTTGTTAAAATGATCTATAATGCTATCCCTGTAATATCTTTTGGATAGAAAGCTGCAATGTGAAGATAAATATTAGCATTTTTTTATTTAGGAAAAACAATTCCAACGGCCAGAGATTTCATTACGTGATCAATATAATCATAAAATCAGATCATAAAAATATAAAAATTTTTTAACTTCCGTATAGGATAAAAAAATCTGATGTATTCAAAAACTCTCATCATGAGAAAATTTTTCTAAGGCAACTAAATCATTTGAAATGGAACTAAAAATATTTATTCACAATAATTAATTAAAAATGATCAACTATTTTACTTAAGGAAGAAACAAATTTTTTTAAATTATGTCATCGATTTATCTTATTGTAATTTTTTTTTTTATTTTTAACGAAAAATATTATTAAATAAATCCTATTTTAAGAGGAAAGAATTTATATCTCTTGTTAATCCTCCAATAATTAATTAATAATAATACTGTAAATTAATTAGATTAATGATTTTTTACCTAAATTGTGATTTTTTTTTAAATATTAATATTAAAATTTTTAAAAAATTATTAGCAATATTAAGTTGTAAAGAAATTTCCTTTTAAATAATAACATAATTTATTTACTTTTGTTGTAATTCAATGAGCTTTAGATTTTTATTACTCAATGTTTTGCTGATAAAGAAGAATATTTGCAAAAAGTATTCCCAAGTAATAAGAACTATAATTCAATAAATACAAAATATAACATTTCAAACCTTCGATATCAAACTTTTAATTTGAAAGTCAAATAAAGATTTTTCATAACTAAAAAATATAATTTATATATGATGTGATATCAAAGAGTTTGCGAAACACAATAATCAATTAGTGATGTGTATATAATAAATAAAATAAAATAAGTACAAGTACGTATCACCACTAATCATATCACAAAGCTTAATTTAATTTATTGAAGAAACTGTTTACATTGTACAAAAAAAAATCAGTTCTCATTATCTTATATACGTTAATTAATGAATTTTATATCTCTGGAGAAACGAATCGAAATTTTGCGTTACTTCTCTTTATGGTTTAGCTCACCATCCTGAGGAACTATGTGGAGGAATTATGAGTAATACTGTCACTTACAATACTACCGTGGGAAACTGTTCCAGCTGCGAAACGGTTGGAAGTGCTTTAACGAGTGCTCAAAGATTTCTTCCAGATTTAGTTGGTTATGTTGCGATGACAACATTTGTTTAGAACAGAAAAATGTCTCAGTAGATGTTACATTTCATGTTACTAAGCTAATTGTGATTTTGGTCAATGTAGCAAGATAATGCTTTTAGGTAATGGGAGTTGAAGTTGTACTGTTATTCAATCGATTAGAAGGATACAAATAATAATCCAAAGAAATAACGACTAATTATTTTAACACTTCATATTATAAATTCAGTTTATAGAACTTTCACTTGGATATTACTATTTTTTGCTCTAAATAAAATCTCTTTGGTTAACTGTTAACGAGCTAGTTTATATTGTTCTGGTTAAATTTCGATATTCAGGTTGATTACTATTATTATCATCATCATCACAAAACATTCTTTTAATATTCATTTTCTCCACGTTTCTCACAATTGAATAGGTTTCTTCTATTGATTATTCATTTTATTGTTTATTGATTAATTAATTGATTAATATTATATAAGTTACAATAATAATCATGTTACTCTGTAGAATTCCTCTGTATAATAGGTCGATGATCTGAGAATTTTATTCATTATTATGATGTATAAGCTTTACATAATAATAATAATCATCATATATTAAAAAGTAAAATACCAAAAAATAAATTTTCAGAATTTATGACTTGTTAAAAAATCACTTAATGGATATATTGCATACTTTACTACGAAATTTTAATAATCTTTTGCACAAATCGAAGAATTAATTAATTAACTATTACTTATTTCCTTTTCATTGAACAAATGCAACTTCCCTATTTGGAGAAGACGTAGGTTTGTTATAAATTCTAAAATTAACTAATTTTGATGGTGATGGTGATAATAATGCTGATAATATGTAAAAATGAAAATAATTTAAGCGGAGGGAGGAATAAATGAAATAATTTTTAGATTGGCCATTCCCGTCATCATCGTTATTAATAATATCATCATTATCATCATCATCGTCATCATCATCATCATCATCATCATCATCATTAATAATATCGTAATCATTACCACCAAATTCATTGATACTGTGATGTTGATAATTATATTATAATCAAGCAACAAATGGAGGTTATGATTATAGAATAGTAACTTTCCCTACTGCATCATCACTTAATCAACATGCTTAACATAACTTAATCCAAATTAATAATGATTCTAATTCTAATAAAAACAATATATAATAAATCAAATAATAAATAATTTAAAATCAATATCAACCCATCTTAATAATAATGGTAAAGTTCTGTCATAATAATCTGTGATTGATGATGGCGACATTTATTATCACCATCACCTATCATCATCGTCATCAGCAGAATTTGATATTCACTAGACATATAATTTCTATTTGTTGTTTTGGTAATGGATAATAATATCAGTTTATGGTGATAATAATAATAATAAATTGGTGACAATAAATAGACAAACATAAAAACAAGATCACGATTACAATAAACAAGATGATAATGATAAACATGAAAGAGAAATTAAAAGCAATAAAGAAGATTATGTCCGAACAAGAAGACTTTTAAAAAAATGGGAAGAATTAATTTAATAATTATAAAAGTTGTTTTGATCAATTACAAATTAATACTGAAGATTTCAAGAAAAGATTACATCAATTAAATAAAGTATATAAATAATTACAGAGGTTGAGTTTTGTTATTAAAACATATATTCATAAACAAGAAGAAATAAAATAATAATTGAATTATTAAAAAATTATAACTTATTTAATTAAATAAATTAAATAAATTAAACTAAGTTCAGTCGGTTTAGTCTATAAAATTTATTAAACGCGACTTACAAAAATCGTGTGATTTAACAAAATAAACTTATTATAAAAAACTGCGATATTTCAATTGATAAAAATCTTAATTACATACTCTATACTTAGTGTTAAAAAAATATAAATAGTGCCTTATAATTAAATAAGTAAAATACAAATAAAAAATATATTACGTTAAATAAAATTTATAAATTAAATGTATTCAAATCATCATCATCACCTAATTAAAAAATAAATTAAATTAAATATAAATAAATAACCATGTCATGAAATGAAAAATAAAATATAATTGATACTTGCCAACATTTATTTGATAAAAAGATTCCGTTAATTCTTCAAGTCTCTTTTCATAAGTTTCTCCATTTTTAGGTTTTGGAAGATTTGAAAAATTGAGAAGTCTACTCGTATAAATTGCTTGCGAATGTGTTTTATAATTCACCGGAGTTGTATTTGTTGTATTAATTGTTGTTTCTTGATTTTTGGAAAATTCTTCAGCTTCTTTAATTTGAATTGTAATTTCATTATTATTTTCACGATAATCCTCCCAGTGTTTTTTTAACTCTTTATGTAATTCTTCAAAAGTGGGTCGATATGTAATTCTCGCATCCCAACATCGCATAATTATTTGTGTAATTAATTTAGGTGTGTGAAATGGAATTTTCGGTCGAAGTCCAATACATATATTAAAAGCCAACTCTTTATCATGCGACACATCGTGATACGGGGGAAACCCGGTGATCATTTCGTACGCCACAAATGCAAATGAATAAACATCAGCGGCCTTTGTATATTCTCCCCCACTTAATACTTCAGGAGCTATATAGGGTAACACTCCAGAAATAGTATTCTTTTTATTATTTTGAGAATTTTTTATGTTTTCCGTAATTAATTTACTCAATCCAAAATCCGATATACATACATCATTAGAATCTGAACTATATTTTAAAATATTTCCAGGATGAAAATCACGATGAACTATATCTAATTCATGAATTTTTGAAAATTTCTTAGCTAAATTGAATAAATGTTCTAATTTACTTTTCCAATCGATCTTATCAAAATTATTATTTAAATAATTTCTAAGACTTCCACCTTCATAATATTCCACAACTATCATATATTCGCGAGCTTCTGGATTTTTTGTAATTCCAAAAAATAAAACGGATGAAAATTTACCATCATTTGTTCTCGAGAGATTTGTCATCTAAATAACATATTTTTTTAAAATTATAGTATATTTTTAAGTAATTTCATATTAATTATATTAATTTAAAAATATTATTTTACCTCATTTAAAAAATCTTCATTTATATCGACAACACCATCAAATTTTTTTAATACCGATTCAATTTGACCTTTTCTTTTCCATTGTTGATTTTCATTATCCCAATTTTGAATATATCCATCAATCCACTTAGCATAATAAATAGTACCATAACCACCTTTTGCTATTTGTTTAATATCGAGAAATCTATCATAAGGTATCCATTCTAATAATTTATAAATATCAGCATTTATTTGAGTATCTTGAATATATTTATCGATTATATCATTTCCGCTTGTCCATTTATCAAAATCATTTTTTAAACGTGTCGAGTTGCACGGTCTGCACCAACGACCAAAATATTCTTGATTGCATTCTGGACATACTTTAGTCATTTTCTGTTAGCTTATAGTATTTTTTTTAATTAAATAAAAAAATAAAATAATCAAATTTATATCGAAATAGATATGGAAGACTGTAAGGTATTTATCAATCGGAGTTTTCATTCTACACGACCGAAATTTAGCAACTTTGGAAATTTTCAAGTTAAACAAGTACAACATCATAAATTAATTTTCAAGTCATTTCATACTAAATTTTCTGAATTGATGACTTGTAATACTATTTTGCATACTTTACTTTTTTTGTGTAATCGGAAATTCTTATTTCTTTTTCGAGGAAAAGAATGTAACTTTTCCTATTTGAGAGAAGACTAGTGTTTTATCGTCTCGAAAAATTAAATAAATTAAATAAGCTTAATAGTATATAAAATTATATAATAATAATCTAAATCTATATAATCATCTAATAACAATAGTGGAAGTTCCTTTAACATCGAACTCGTGTGAAAATTTTCGCGATAATTCAGACCATTTTGATAGCGGCGACACCATCACCATCGTGAAACTGCAACCTCGGGAATATTATTATCCATTAAAACAACAAATAGTAGTTACATCAGATGGTGATGATGGTTACAATAATAATAAATTAACGACAATAAATTCTCATATCAATAAACGAGATAAACAGAACGAACAAGGTCACGATAAAAATAAACATGATGATAATAAACAAAAAAAAAGAAAAAAAAGAAAAGAATAATTTAGAAGTAATAAAGAAATTATGTCCGAACAAGAAGGCTTTAAAAAGCAGGAAGAATTAATTAATACTATAAGTATAAAAGTTTATTTTACTAATTTTCCTTTTCGGGAAAAAATGAAACCTTTTCTTATTTGGTAGATTTGTTGTGTGACGTTTTATCGCTATTTTCGAAATAGTCTGGTCAGTGGATTAGCCATTTAATATAAAATAGTTTTTCGAAAACACAGAACACAGATCTAATTAATCACGTGATTTAGTTGGGCAATGAATTTTCGAATTTATGATCATCTTTTAAGTCAAATAATTTTTAACCTAAGCTGCGCCTTAAAATATGGATTTTATTATTTTAAATATTTACTTTTTTCTTTTTTTATTTATTATACATTATTGCTATTACTGCAATTTAATACTCTCTCTCTCCTCCTGATATTGAATTAATTGATAAAAATTTATAATTAAAAAAATTAAAAACAAAATAAAATATTAAATTATTAATAAAACATACCTTTGACTTCAAAACATCAAAAAAATCACTTCTAAATATTTAAATACATAAATAAAAATTTTATATGTTCAAAGTTTCTTAAAAATATGATTAAAAATAAATTAATTAACAGAAATGGTTTGTAAAGATCTCAAGATTATTTTATATCTATTGTAATTGCTGGTAATCTTGAGATCACAATTTATAATCATGGTAATCTAGAGGAAGGGCTCTAATAATACATTCTTTGTACCTTAATAAAAAACAACTGCGAATAACTAAAATTTATAATGTAAAACAAAAACTTATGTTTTGTTGATTTAACCGATGTTTATTATGCATGATTATTTTTTTGAATTTTCCGCAGTAATTTTTTTGTATCACAGACCACAGTGATAAAATAAATTAAATAAATTAACCCAAGCTTAATCAGTTTAGCCTAAAAAATTTATTAAACGTTATTTGTATATATAAAAAATTGTGATATTTTATTTTATAAAAAATCTTAATTACATTCTCTATACTTAGTGTTAAGATTTTATAATATTAAAAAAATTAATGAATAGTGCCTTATAATTAAATAAGTAAAATACAAATAAAAATATATAACGTTAAATAGAATTTATAAAAAATCATCACCATCATCACCTAATTAAAAAAATAATAAAATAACTTAAATAATTTTGAATTGAAAATGAATACAATAAAATATACTTACTAGCATTTATTCAATAAAAAGATGCTGTTAATTCTTCAAGTTTTTTTCAAAATTTTCATCAGTTTTAGATTTTGGAAGATTTGAAAAATTGAGAAATCTACTGGTATAAATTGCTTGTGGATGTGTTTTATAATTCATTGGAGTTGTAGTTGTCGTATCAGTTGTTGTTGTTTGATTTTTGGAAAATTCATCAGCTTCTTTAATTTGAATTGTAATTTCGCTAGCATTATCGTAATAATCATCACAGTATCGGTCCAACTCTTTACATAATTCTTCAAAGTGAATCGATGTGTAATTTGGGCATCCCAACATTGTATAATCATTTGTGGAATTAAATTAGTGAAATGGAATTTTCAGTCGAAAATCATTGCATATATTAAAAGCCAACTCTTTATCATGCGGCACATCATGATACAGGGGAAGCCCGGTGATTATTTCGTAAGTTACAAATGAAAATGAATAAACATCAGCGACCTTTATATATTCTTCCCATTTAACACTTCAGGAGCTATATAGGGTAATACTCCAGAAAGGATAGTCTTTTGAGAATTTTTTATGTTTTCCGTAATTAATTTACTCATTATAAAATCCGACATATATAAATTATTAAAACTAGAACTTAATTTTAAAATATTTCCAGGATGAAAACCACGATGAACTATATCTAATTTATGAATTTTTGAAAATTTATAAGCTAAATCATTTAAATTTGGTAATTTACTTTCCCAATCGATATTATTAAAATTATTATTTAAATAATTTCCAAACTTCCATCTTCATAATATTTCACAACTATCATATATTCGCGAGCTTCTGGATTTTTTGTAATTCCAAAAAAAACAACCGATGAAAATCCACCATCATTTGTTCTCATCTAAATAACATATTTTTTAAATTATAGTATATTTTCAAATAATTTCATATTAATAATATTAATTTAAAATATTATTTTACCTCATTTAAAAAATCTTCATTTATATCGACAATACCATCAAATTTTTTTAATACCGATTCAATTTGACCTTTTCTTTTCCATTGTTGATTTTCATTATCCCAATTTTGAATATATCCATCAATCCACTTAGCAAAATAAATAGTACCATAACCACCTTTTGCTATTTGTTTAATATCTAGAAATCTATCATAAGGTATCCATTCTAATAATTTATAAATATCAGCATTTAGTTGAGTATCTTGAATATATTTATCGATTGTATCATTTCCGCTTGTCCATTTATCAAAATCATTTTTTAAACGTGTTGAGTTGCAATATTTTCTTGATTACATTCTGGGCATACTTTAGTCATTTTTTGTTCGCTTATAGTATGCAAGGTAGAAGTTTTTTTTTTAATTATTAAATAAAAATAAAATAAATAAATTTGTAACGGAATAAATATAAAAGAGTATTAATGGATTTATATATTATCTCAATTACGTGCTTACATTCGAAAAATCAGAATTAAAGTTTTTTTTTATAAATGAAGCAAAAGGTAATTTGGTTTATGCAGGATATTCCTTAATTATATTTACCAATCGGAGTTGTTATTCTAAATGACCGAAATTTATCAACTTTGGGAATTTTCAAGTTAAACAGGTATAACATCATAAATTAATTTTCACGTTAAAATCAAGTCAATCGCATACTAAATTTTCTGAATTGATGACTTGTAATATTATTTTGCATACTTTACTGCAATTATAAAATATATTTTTTTTGTATAATTGAAAATTCATATTTCTTTTTCGGGGAAAAGAATGTAACTTCCCTATTTAAGAGAAGACTAGTGTTTTATCGGCTGGCTCGAAACTAAATAAATTAAATAAATTAAATAAATTAAAATAAACCTAATAGTCTATATAATTTAAATAATAATAATAATAAATTAGCGACAAAAAATTCCCATATCATAAACGAAACAATAAACATGAAAAGAAGAAATTAAAAGCAATGAAGAAGACTACGTCCGAACAAGAAGGCTTTTAAAAATTGGGAAGAATTAATTAATATTTATAAAGTTGTTTTGATCAATTACTGAAGATTTCAAGAAAAGATTACGTTAATTAAATAAAATATATAAATAATTACAGAGGTTGGGTTTTGATATTAAAACATATATGTATTCATAAACAATATGAAAAAAGAAATAAAATAATAATTGAAGAATTAATAAAACAATTATTACTTCTTTTCCTTTTCGGGAAAATAATGTAACTTTTTTCTTATTTGATCGATTTGTTGTGTGGTGTGGTGTTTTATCGACTCGGAATTAAAATAAATTAAATAAATTAAACTAAGTATAGTCGGTTTAGTCTGTAAAATTTATTAAACGCAACTTTCAAAAATCGTGTGATTTAACAAAATATACTCATTATTTGTATATATTAAATTGCGATATTTTATTTGATAAAAAAGTCTTAATTACATACTCTATACTTAGTGTTAAGATTTTTAATATTAAAAAAAAAAAAATAATAAATGCTTTATAATTTAATAAGCAAAAATAAATAAAAAATTTTGACGTTAAATAAAATTTATGAAATTTTAACTTAAGATGTATTCAAATCATCGTTATCATCATCATCATCGTCGCCTAATTAAAAAATAAAAAGCAAAGAAATTAAATATAAAATAAATGATTATAAAATGAAAAATGAATATAATATAAAATATCAATGATACTTACTAAAATATATTTGATAGAAAGATTTTGTTAATTCTGTTAATTCTTCAAGTTTTTTTTCGAAATTTTCATCATTTTTAGGTTTTGGAAGATTTGAAAAATTGAGAAGTCTACTGGTATAAATTGCTTGTGGATGTGTTTTATAATTTGTTGGAGTTGTATTTGTCGTATCAGTTGTTGTTGTTTAATTTTTGGAAAATTCTTCAGCCTCTTTAATTTGAATGTAATTTCATAATTATCATTATTATGAAAAATATATTTAAGATAATTATCCAAGTGTTTTTTTAGCTCTTTATGTAATTCTTCAAAAGTGGGTCGATGTGTAATTCGGGCATCCCAACATCGCATGATTATAAGCAACAAATGCAAACGAATAAACATCTGCCTTTTTATATTCTTCCCCACTTAATACTTCAGGAGCTATATAAGGTAATACTCCACAAATGGTATTTTTTGGGGAATTTTCCATAATTAATTTACTCAATCCAAAATCTGATATACGTAAAGAAGCAGAATTAGATAACAAATTATATTTTAAAACATTTCCAGGATGAAAATCACGATGAACTATATCTAATTTATGAATTTCTGAAAGTTTATAAGCCAATTCTTTTAAATGTTCTAATTTTGTTTTCCAATCGATCT